CTCTCGGGCTTCAGCAGCTTCTCCTCCTTGGGCTCCCCCTTGCACTGCTTGGTCTGCTCCACACCTGGGTGGCAGGGTGGCAGAGTGGTGCCTGGCACGCATGTCAGCCCCGCCTGCCCCTGCCCTTCCCCCTCCTCCCGGCCAGGCATCACCATCCTGGTGACGGCCCACGCCTGGACTCCGTGCTAAGCCCCCTGCACGCACAACCGCCAGGAAGGCGCCCCCTTCCTCGCCCCGCTCTGCAGCAAGACAACAGAGGTGTGGCAGGACGCGCACACGCTCACCTCTGGGGCCCCACAGACAGTCCGGGGTGCCCCTTCTGGAGCCCTGGCTCGGGGCAGCACCTCGCGATACAACAGGACACCCACCTGGCCCCAGCCCCGCGGCCGTCATCTGCGTGGCCATGAGCCGCGCCAGGTGCTTGATCTGGGCCTCGGTGCCAGCCGACTCCACCGGGGTGTAGATGGCCTGGAAGGAGGCGGGCATGGCCTCGGGCAGGTACACCATGCTGATGAGGACCTGCAGGGAGTCCCGGAGAGGAGCCAGCTTCAACCAAGAGCTCCCCGACTCATCCGACCACGCTGGCACCCCCTGTGGGGACTACAGCGGCGCTCAGGGCCCCAGGGTTGCTGGAGGGGAGCTGAGCCAGGAGAGTGGGTGCTGACAGCAACACACGTCAGGAGGGCCGGGGAAAGTGGGCCCGGGGTTGTGGCTCAGGTTGAGAACCGCTGCTCTAGGCATACTCTGCAGAAAGACGATGATGAGGCACACACTCTAGGTAAAATACCCCAAAGCAGGGCACGGGTGAGAGGTGGCAAACGTGGCAGGATTAGAAGGAGAACCAGTGTTTATATTGGGCCCCATCAAACACACTCAGGCTAGACGCCCGGCCTCTCCCCAGACCTCACCAGGTTAGCCACGTTGTCAGGTGTCAGCAGAGGCTGCAGGAACTCGGCTGTGATGTCCGTGTCCGACTGGCCCGAGAGCTGGGCGGAGGCCTTGGAGGGTCCCGAGGGTCCCGACTCCATGTCCTTGTCCTCGTCATCTTCCCCCAGGTTGGGCTCTGCGATGGGGGGGAGGAACAAGATGCTGGGTCCAGAGGGGGAGGGATCTGGTGGTCGCTGCTGCTGGCCAGCCTCGGGAGCCAGGAGCAGTGTGCCCGGCAGATGCAGAACTGGCTCCAGCCGGGACCCCTGCCTTCACTCTGCCATGTGACCTTAGGCCTCTCTCTGGGCCTCCGGTCTCATCCGGGGAATGGGAATAGGCTGCTCCTGCCTGGAAATCATAGCCAGCAACAAGAGGCCAGCGTTCTTAACGGAGAAGCCAACCATCGATTCCTCAGAGCTCTCCCGTGGAGCAAACCCCTAATTCTCTCTGAACCCCCACTGAACTTCACTCAGAATCAGGGCCGTGCACAACCAAGTATTGCGTGTGCCTGATGTCAAACAGGAAGGTGGACGGCAGCTGCTGGCAGGAGGGGTCTGGAGCAGCACCCAGCAGTCCGCGTGGAAGGAGTAAACTCTCAGTGACTTGTACCAGCCTGCAGGACAGAGGAGAAGGGCCCGGGGCTCCCCAGGCTGTCTGCAGAGAAGCAGACGGCATCCTGTCTCTCTCTCTCTCTCCCCACCAGGGGCAGGCCTTGGGGCTGGCACCGGGGTGCCGCACCGCCGTGCTCCTGGAGGAGGAGGGACAGTGGTCTGCCATCGGTATGGGAACGGCATCATCCGTGAGCGCGGAGACCAGCGCCAGGGTCGGACGGGTTAGCTCCACCCCCCCCACCCCCCGGGTCTGCTCACCGTCCCGTCAGAAGAGACGGACGACCCCCGAGCCCGGGACGAGAGGGAACTAACCTGCCCGGGAAGGAAGCACAGGGACACAGGACGGGCCTCCCAAGGGCACTGGGGAGGACGGGCCATCAGACGGACAAACAAGAAGGACCCAAGCCAAGGCCACTGGCCCCGTATAGACTCCTCACGACCCGGAGGGACAGAGACCTGTCCCACTGGGCTCCCAGAAGGTCAACCTTGCGGAGGCAGACGCCTGCCTCATCTTCCTCCTTCGGAGGGTCGCGAGAGCATGTGTGGCTGGCCTCTGGTTTGCAGCCGCGTCCTGGCCTCTGCGCCGCCACCAGGCCTCCCGGGCGTCACCTGCATCTCGCCAGCAGGAGGCCAGACCCAATCCAAACTCCCTGCCACCAAGTCCGATTCAGTGACCCTAGAGGGCAAAGTGGAACTGCCCCGGGGAGTTCCCAGGATGTGAAGCTAAGTGCCATGGGAACAGGAGCTCTGGCAGCACAGTGAGTTGCGTGCTGGCTGCGACACACAAAGTCAGCAGTTTGAACCCACCCGTCGCCCCTCGGCAGGAAGAGGAGGCTTTCTGCTCTGGTAGAGGCCGGCAGCCTCGGAAACCCCCAGGGGCAGCTGTGCTCTCTGCCTTGTGGGGTAGTGGTGAGTCAGTACTGGTTCCCCAGCATCTCCTTGGGCCCAATAAGTGCAGCCAGGCCCTGGAATCTCCTCTCGGGCCCCAGGCGAGCACCTTTCACTCACCCAGCTTCATCTTTTTGAGTGTGGGGTCTGAGTCATCCCGGGGCCGCTTGCGGGCATCCTTGCTGCTGGGCATGTTGCGGGTGATCTCGGCCTGCGGCGTGCCCAGGTCCACGAGCAGGGTGGTGATCTGGGCCTGGAACTCCAGGGAGGCCGGGTGCTTCAGTACGTTCAGCAGGTGCAGCTTGAGGTTCTTGCGGACACTGCTCACCTGGGACTTGGCCAGGGTGGGGGGCAGGTTGGCTGTGGGGAAAGAAGCAGGCGCTTGGTGCTGGAGACGGGCCTTGCGGTGGCTCTGGGGCCATGCTTTCCAACCCCAAGCTTGGACGACAGAAGGCTTCCAGGCCCACTCCTGGGAGAGCCCCTATGCCCTGGGACCTAGCAGGTGGCCTTCCTCCTGGACCAGCAGAACCAATCAATCTTAAGATGGAGAGCAACACACCCACCCTCCTGTGCAAGTCACATCCCACCCACCTCAGATCTGGAAACCTGAATGGGCCTCCCGCCACCCCCCTCCCCCAGGCATGCGAGAGCCCCTGGGTGATGCAAGAGGTTAAGAGGTTAATGGGCTGGCCACTGAGGGATGCTGGTTCTGGCCCACCCAGAGGTGACTGCAAAGAAAGGCCTGGTGATCTTTGGAGAAACCAGCCACCAAGCACCCAGCTCCTGCCTGACCCCCACGGGGTTGTTGTTTGTCTGGGAAGGTTGCAACCACCGTTTCCACCTCCATACTTTCCCAACCGATCAGCCACAACCACCTTATCCGTCGGTCCTCCTGGCACCAGAAGGATTTGCTAAGGCCTGGCAGCCAGTCACCTTGGTGAGCGATCTGCCCCTGTTCCACAGCCAGGTAGGACACCTGCAATGTCGCCAGCCCAGCGCCCAGTCTCCCTGCCTGGGCCAACAACACCACTCTCTCTCTCCTCTGAGGACACCACCTAGTCTCCATTCTCAGACCAAGTGGCCACTTGGCCCAGGGGGGCCAATAAGGAGGCGGTATCCCCTTGGTCACTGTTGATTGGTTCATGGCCAGGCTCACAGAGGAGGCCTGGCCAATCAGAAACAATGAGCAGCAGCCAGGGGGGCCAGGGCTGGAATGCAGGGGAAGGGGACATTCTCTGATCCCTGGGGTTGCTAAGCAGATGGAATGGGAGCCACTTGGGAGTGGAGCTCTTTGCTCCCAGGAGGAAGGAGTGTGCCCAGGGCCAAGAGAGGAAACCATGGGGAGAGAGGAGCCCCTGGCCCCCAACCGCTGCCAATTCTCGCAGCCTGCTGGAGAGGAAGTGATGAGGGCTCCCTCCGTGGAACGACCCCCACTTGTTTCCTCTCTCTGCTGTTTCTCATCGAGATGCTGTCGGGGGCGGGCTGGAATATTTTAAAGCATTTGGGGTGTCATCTCACCCACCTTGTGAGGTGCCCTCAAGTCAGTGCCGACTCAGGGACCCTGTGAACAAGGAGGGCAAACCACTGCCCCGCCGGGCCTGGGCCATCCTCATTCTATGAAATGCGGCGTGCCCCGGAACAAGTGTTCCTCTACACACCAACCGAGACACCATAGAAGCCCGCGGACCACCATCACTTTAAGCACAGGAAGAGGAGCCCCAGCAGAATACGAACAGGACACATTTCGGCAACCGAATAAAAAGCACGAGGTTACATCGCTGTCAAGTGGGATTAACCCCAGCAAGGCCAGGGTGGTTTCCAGTAAGGAAGTCAGTGGGAAAGGCGTGTCGGGCCCTGTTGAGTAGCTCTGACCGCCACCCTCCGCACAACAGAAGGCCGTGCCCCCCTCACAATGGTCATTATGTCGGAGCCACGGCTGCAGCCACGGTGGCCGTCCGTCTCCTTGAGGGTCTTCTCTGTCTCGCTGCCCCTCAACTTGACCCAGCACCATGTCCTTCTTCAGGGACCAGTCTCTCCTGCTGACACGTCCCGTGTGTGAGACAGAGTCCTGCCCTCCTCACGGGGTGTACCCCCTCCCCTTTGCCTGGACACACCGCAGTCTTCAAAGCCAGGTCGTGGAGGCACCCCAGAGTCCTGCCTTAACGCGAGGGGGCGTCAACAAGCTCGTGGAGAAAGGGGATGAAGAACCCCGAAACCAAACTCACGGCCACCCAGCCAACCCGGGGACTCACGACGGCCACGGGAGGACCGAAAGACGGTGGAGACTCCCACAAACGTTTGGGAGCCCCCTCCTGTGGAGATTCTGTCCTGGCCCGTGGCCCTCAGGGGCTCATCCCCTGGCTGACATGGCCTCAGGAGAGCCCAGGATGGCCAGGGCAGCGGGGCAGCCCAGGGGCCCACTGACCGTGCAGGGTCTCGTAGGCCTGGATCACCTCCGACATGAACATGGGCCGCTGGCGGGCGATGTTGGCGAGGGCGCCCAGGGCCGTGGTCAGGTTGATGGAGGAGATGGCCGGGTGCACCATGAACTTCAGCAGCTGGTCCAGGGCCGCCTTGCCCTCTTCCCACAACACGTCTGGAGAAAAGAGCCAATCAGGAGGGGCCGGTCCCCCGTCCCCAGAGAAAGCGACCCTCGGAACCTAAAGGAAGGTGGAAGGCGCGCCCTGGTGCGCAGGCACTGTGAACAGCTGAAGGGAGCACGCCGCTCGGGAGCTACAGGGCCCCAAACCACCTCACTTCCTGCCACCGTCCATCAGGCCCACAGCGACCCGTCCCGTGGGTTTCCAAGACTCTACAGAAGGAGAAAGCCTCATCCTTCGCCCATGGAGGGGATGGTAGGTTGGAACTGCTGACACTGTGGTGAGCCACCCAAGGTGCCGTCCTCGACGACACCAGGGCTCCTGATGGGTCCCAGGAGACTATGTCAAGTGTCTAGAAACTTCCTTGTGTGGTTGTTCAAAGCCTCAGCTTGCAATAGTGGAAGATGAGAGTTAAAAAAAAAACACCAGAAAACGTTTGTCACTAGCTGACTGTATGAACTCTGCTGATGTGAAAATTTAAAGGTGGGGAGGGTAGAGAGGGAGGGAAAAATGAGCTGATATGAAGGGCTCAAGTAGAAAGCAAATGTTTTGAGAATGATGATGGCAACAAATGTACCAATGTGCTTGACACAATGGATGGATGTATGGATTGTGATTACAGTTGTACGAGCCCCTAATAAAATAATTTTAAAAGGGAGGTGTGTCTATTAGCTTAAAAGGCCCGTGTCCCAACCCTCTCAATCCAGCCCCTGAATGTTAACCCTTCATGTCCCGATGACACCCGTGGTTTAAAAGGCTCGAATACAAAATGACAATGCCAACAGCCATCAAGAGACAGCTGCTGTGGGAGAATGTGCTGTATCCATGGTGAGGGCTGTAGTGAAGCAATGTACCCCAATATTGGTGCAGGACCGGCCTGACTGTTGAGCTAAAAAGGCCGTCAACCAATACGGAGAAGCAGCCCAAGCCCCGACACAAGGCACCCCCCGCCACCCCGCTGCAGCGTGGATGCCCGCTCCCAGTGACCCTTGCTCGGCAGGGTTTGAGACTGCAGATCTGCACGGGTCAGGTAGCCTCAGCCTTCTCCTGCGGAAGGGCTGGTGGGTTTGAACCTCAGACCTTGCGGCTGGTTAGCAGTGTGCTCGATCGTTTGCAACGAGGAAACCGGCACGGTCTGAGGCACCTCACAACCAGCCTGTGAAACCAGAGCTGCCTCCCCGCGGCGACAAAGCAAAGGACGGAACCGAGAAGAAACCTGTCCGAGCTCACCCGGTGTATGGCGGGGACGCCGGTTGCTGGCCGAGTGAGTGGCAGGGCTGGCAGGGGCTCATCACCACCATGCCATGCTGTTGCCCAAACCACACGACAGCCAGCGGGGAGGGGAGGCAACAGGCAAGGAGCTGCAGGGTCAGCGCAGCGCTGGCACACGCGCAGGGGCGGGGAGAGGGGCACTCACGATACTGGACGTAGGGGTGGTCGCGTGGGATGCGGTCCAGGCTGATGTCCTGCTCCTGGCGCCGGGGCACCTCTGAGTCGGCCATGCGGGGCGACAGGGTGACGATGAGGCCCTCCACAAACTTGATGGCGTGAGTGCGGATGCCGTCGTTGTCAGAGTCTAGCAGCAAGATGATGTCCCCGGCCATGGCAGACACCATGTCCCAGCAGGCCTCCTGGAGCTCGCTGATCACCCGGGACTTCACCATCCACTGCCAGCAGGCGGGCCATGGGGGGACAGAGGGGCAGGCAGACAAGCACAGAGAGGAAGACATCACGTGTCGGCAGCTTCCCCTGGGACACACTTCGTGAGTTCGAACTCTGTCCCTGGTCCTGTGCGAGGCTGTGGTGACCGACCTACCAGTACACAGAGTGGCCTCGGGCAAGCGCAGCAAGGCTGACCTCCAGGGCGAGGGAGGAGGGCACACGATGCCCTCGCTGTGCTCCCATTACCCAGCACCGCTCCCTTCACAACGTTGACCGCAGGCCACCGTTCGGATGACACTCGGACCCCTTTCTGTCTTCCTCCCTGGGTGACAAGTCCCACGAAGGGAGGGACCGCACTGTCTAGGCACAGAGGAAGTGCTCGGGGATGTAGGCTGGGTGGGTGGGTAAAAGGCAGGCTGGGTGGATGGGAAAAAAAAACCAACTCACTGCCACGGAGTTGATTCCACTCCTAGAGACTCCATGGACAGAACAGCCGGCACCTGAGGGTTTCTGCGCTGTCAATCTTTACAGTGGCCAAAAGTCTCATCTTTCTCCTTATGGGGCGGCGGGGGGTTCAAACTACCGACCTTGTAGTTAGCAACCCAACTCCTAAGTCAGTACACCACCCGCGCTCTTTAGATGGATGGAAGGATGAGGAGATGGGAAGAGTGCCTGAAGGAGAGATGTGCAGTGGGAGAAAGGATAGAATGAATGAATGAATGAATGAATGAATGAATGAATGGGTATATGGAATTAATGGAAAAATGGTTAAAGAAATAAAAACAAAAAGGTGGAACGAAGGAGAG